TATTCCTATCATGTGCTATACCTGAAGGACAATTAAACTCTCCTTGTTTATCACCCTCGTTACCAAAAGATCTTAAGTAAGTTCCATTACTACTGAATACCTGAACCCTGTGGTTACCAGTCTCAGTCACTGCAATTTCATCTCGTTCATTCACTGCCACTCCATATGGGCCGTCAAATATTCCAACTGACGAAACTCCTTTTCCAAACGATAAAAAGGGTCTAAACTGTCTGGGTTTTGCTTCAACGGTAAATGGACTGCCACGAATATGTTCTTTATTTGTTATCACTGATAGCTGGCATTTTCCTGTATCCTTGAGGAAGTATCTGACTTCGTAGCTACCATCTTTGTTATCTTGGACTCGCACTTTCATGGCACAGTCATGACCTTGCTGATTTTTTATTTCCGCCATTACACAGTCACGCTCATTGTAGCATTGTTCTCTCTCTGTATTTCTTGTTGTTAATAAAAAGTGTGATTCAAGTCCAACAATACCTTCAGTGATTCCTTTTCCTTCGGCAGTTGATTGATGGGCGATAGTTTTATTCACAAAGGTTACAAATGAGCCGATGCTGTCAGAGTTTAAACTATCAAGTAATGATTTGTTTTCTGTGAAACGGAATTGACGAAGACCTACAATATCAGATGCGGCTTGATTTTCATCATCATTGACCTCTTCCGGTAAGACTGTGTTCAGTGACTTCAATAACTGTGTAATCTCGGCGTTTGTAATTCGTTTCAATATTGTTTCAGTTTTTTTTACTGTTGTTTCCAGCAGTTTAACTTGACGCTTTACCTCGTATTGTTGAGTTCGCACACATTCAAGGGACTCTTTTTGTTGTAGTTCGACTTTGTTTAACATTTCCTTCCTTTTTGCTTCAATGATTGCGATCATGTTTTTAGTAAATTTATAGATATTTCGTTTCACTGCATCGGCTCGCACTTCAATATGGTTACACAGTATTTCAAGTTCGACGATTTTGTTTTTCTTCTGTTCAATTTTCTCCTTTTGCGACTCGATCAAAGACTGAAGTTGTAACTTGCGTTCACTCGCTGCTTCTTCTAGAAGAATCTTAGCGTGACCTTTATGGATGGTTGCAACACACGAATTACAAATGGCAACATCACAGTTCTTGCAAAAGAACTTGAGTTCTTCTTTTTCGTGATGCTTCTGTTGGCAAAATGCTGGCCGCTTAAATACATCCTCAATATCTTGATCCTCAAAATCCTTTAGAGCGAGAACTCGATGCTCTTTATTCGCTTTGATCATGTTATGCGCAGTGATGCACTCGTCACACCAGAACGCACAGCACTGAAAACAGTAAGA